AACATCAACCACCACAACAACAATAACAACAACAATAACCACAACAACATCAACAACAACAACCACAACATCAACAACAACAACCACAACAACAACAACCACAACAACATCAACAACAACTATAACAACAACAACAATAACCACAACAACAATAACAACAACAACAACAATAACCACAACAACATCAACATCAACAACAACAACATCAACAACATCATCAACAACAACAACAACATCAACAACCACAACAACAACATCAACAACAACAACCACAGCAACCACAACAACAACCACAACAACAATCACAACAACCACAACAACAACAACAATCACAACAACAACCACAACAACAACCACAACAACAACAACATCAAGAACAATCACCACAACAACAACAACCACTACAACAACAACCACAACCACAGCAACAACACCAACAACAACATCAACAACAACCACAACTATAACAACAACAACCACAACAACAACCACAACTATAACAACAACCACAACAACCACAACATCAACAACAACTACAACAACAACAACGACAACAACAACCACAACAACATCAACAACAACAACAATCACAACAACAACAACTACAACAACAACAACCACAACAACATCAACAACAACAACATCAACAACAACAACATCAACAACATCAACAACAACCAAAACAACAACAACAACTACAACAACAACAAGAACCACAACAACAACAACCACAACAACAACCACAACAACAACAACCACAACAACAACATCAACAACAACAACAACATCAACAACAACAACAACATCAACAACAACAATCACAACAACAACATCAACAACAACCACAACAACAACCACAAAAACAACAACATCAACAATCACCACAACCACAACAACAACAATCCCCTCAACAACTATAACAACAACAATCACAACAACAATCACAACAACAACAATCACTACAACAACAACAACCACAACATCAACAACAACAATCACCACAACAACAATCACAATAACAACAACCACAACAACAACCACAACAACTACAACAACAACAACATCAACAACAACAATAACAACAACCACAACAACAACAATCACAACAACAACAATCACCACAACAACAACAACCACAACAACAACAACCACAACAACAAAAACCACAACAACCACAACAACAACCACAACAACAACCACAACAACTACAACATCAACAACAACAACCACAACAACAACCACAACAACAACAACAATCACCACCACAACAACAACAACCACAACAACCACAACAACAACAACAAAAACCACAACAACAACAACCACAACATCAACAACAACATCAATCATCATCACCATCACCATTACCACGATCACCACCACCATCATCACCACCACCATCACCACCATCACCACCACCACCATCACCACCATCACCACCATCACCATCATCACCATCACCACCATCACCACCACCATCACCACCACCATCACCACCATCACCACCATCACTATCACCACCATCACCACCACCATCACCATCACCACCACCACCATCATCACCACCACCATCATCACCACCATCAGCCCCATCACCACCATCACCACCATCACCACCATCACCACCATCACTATCACCACCATCACCATCACCACCATCACCATCACCACCATCACCACCACCATCACCATCACCACCATCACCACCACCACCATCATCACCACCACCATCATCATCATCACCACCACCATCACCACCACCATCACCACCATCACCATCAACACCATCACCACCACCATCACCATCATCACCATCACCACCATCACCACCATCACTACCACCACCATCACCACCACCATCACCACCACCACCATCACCACCATCACCACCATCACCACCACCATCATCACCACCACCATCATCATCACCACCACCATCACCACCACCATCACCACCATCACCACCACCACCACCATCACCATCATCACCATCACCACCATCACCACCATCACTACCACCACCATCACCACCACCATCACCAAGACCACCTTCACCATCACCACCATCATCACCACCACCACCACCATGACCATCACCACCATCACCACCACCACCACCATCACCACCACCATCACCATCACCACCATCACCACCACCATCATCACCATCACCACCATCACCATCACTATCACCACCACCACCATCACCACCACCACCATCACCACCATCACCACCATCACCACCATCACCACCATCACCACCACCATCACCACCACCATCACCACCACCATCACCACCATCACCACCACCACCATCACCACCACCACCACCATCAGCACCACCACCATCACCACCACCATCACCACCATCACCACCACCATCACCACCATCACCACCACCATCACCACCATCACCACCATCACCATCACCACCATCACCACCACCACCACCATCACCACCACCACCATCACCACCACCACCACCATCACCACCATCACGACCACCACCATCACCACCACTACCATCACCACCACCACCATCACCACCACCATCACCACCATCACCACCACCATCACCACCATCATCACCACCACCATCACCACCACTACCACCACCACCACCATCACCACCACCATCACCACCATCACCATCACCACCATCACCACCACCACCACCATCACCACCATCATCACCATCACCACCACCATCACCACCACCATCACCACCATCACCACCACCATCACCACCATCACCACCATCACCACCACCATCAGCACCACCATCACCATCACCACCACCATCAGCACCGCCATCACCATCACCACCATCACCATCACCACCATCACCACCACCACCACCATCACCACCACCATCAGCACCACCATCATCACCACCACCACCACCATCACCACCACCACCATCACCACCATCACCACCACCACCACCATTACCATCACCATCACCACCACCATCACCACCACCACCACCATCATCACCACCACCACCACCATCACCACCACCATCACCACCACCACCATCACCACCATCACCACCATCACCACCACCATCACCACCATCACCACCACCATCACCACCACCACCACCACCATCACCACCACCATCACCATCACCACCACCATCACCACCATCACCACCATCACCACCACCATCACCACCACCATCACCATCACCACCACCATCACCACCATCACCACCACCATCACCACCACCATCACCACCACCATCACCATCACCACCATCACCACCATCACCATCACCACCACCACCACCATCACCACCACCATCATCACCACCACCACCACCATCACCACCACCATCACCACCATCACCACCACCATCACCACCACCACCATCATCACCACCATCACCACCACCATCACCACCACCATCACCACCACCACCATCACCACCACCATCACCACCACCATCACCATCACCACCATCACCACCACCATCACCACCACCATCACCACCATCACCACCATCACCATCACCACCATCATCACCACCATCACCACCATCACCACCACCATCACCACCACCATCACCACCACCATCACCACCATCACCACCACCATCACCACCACCATCACCACCATCATCACCACCACCACCATCACCACCACCATCACCACCATCACCATCACCACCTCGTGCCCTCAGATGCCCTGGGAGTGTTGGTGAGTCACGTGACCGCGGGGGGCCTGGCCGACGGGGCGGGGCTACGCGTCGGTGACGTCATCCTACACGTCAACGGTTGGCCCCTCCCCCACGACGTCACAATAGACCACGCGTGGGCCAAGGTGAGATGGGGAGATTGGTGGGTGGGTGGGTGAGTGGGTGGGTGGGTGGGTGAGTGGATGGGTGTGTGGGTGAGTGGGTGGGTGGGTGGGTGACCGTGTGGGTGGGTGGGTGGATGGGTGGGTGGGGTTCACGGTGACCGTGTGGGTGGGTGGGTGGGGTTCACGGTGGCCGTGTGGGTGGGTGGGTGGGGTTCACAATGGCCGTGTGGGTGGGTGGGTGAGTGGGTGGGGTTCACGGTGGCCGTGTGGGTGGGTGGGTGGGTGGGGTTCACGGTGGCCGTGTGGGTGGGTGGGTGGGTGGGTGGGGTTCACGGTGGCCGTGTGGGTGGGTGGGTGGGTGGGGTTCACGGTGGCCGTGTTGGTGGGTGGGTGGGTGGGTGGGGTTCACGGTGGCCGTGTGGGTGGGTGGGTGGGGTTCACGGTGACCGTGTGGGTGGGTGGGTGGGGTTCACGGTGGCCGTGTGGGTGAGTGAGTGAGTGGGGTTCACGGTGACCGTGTGGGTGGGTGTCACTGTGACCGTGTGGGTGGGTGGGTGGGTGGGGTTCACTGTGACCGTGTGGGTGGGTGGGTGGGAGGGGTTGACGATGGCCGTGTGGGTGGGTGGGTGGGTGGGGTTGACGATGGCCGTGTGGGTGGGTGGGTGGGGTTCACGGTGACTGTGTGGGTGGGTGGGTGGGGTTCACGGTGACCGTGTGGGTGGGTGGGTGGGGTTCACGGTGACCGTGTCGGTGGGTGGGTGGGTGGGGTTCACGGTGGCCGTGTGGGTGGGTGGGTGGGTGGGGTTCACGGTGACCGTGTGGGTGGGTGGGTGGGTGGGGTTTACGGTGACCGTGTGGGTGGGTGGGTGGGGTTCACGTCCGTGTGGGTGGGTGGGTGGGGTTCACGATGTCCGTGTGGGTCAACGTCGCTCTCTCTACCCACCCCACCCACCCCCTTCTCCCCACCCTCCCCCACCCACCCCACCCACCCCCTTCTCCCCACCCTCCCCCACCCACCCCACCCACCCCCTTCTCCCCACCCTCCCCCACCCACCCCACCCACCCCCTTCTCCCCACCCCCCCCTCCCCCGTCCACGTAGATTAAAGCCTCCCACACCGCAGGTGCAGGAGCAGGCAGAGGCGGCGGAGGCGGAGGAGGCAGTGGAGGCGGTGGAGTAGGAGGCGGTGGAGGAGTAGGAGGCGGTGGAGTAGGAGGCGGTGGAGGAGTAGGAGGCGGTGGAGTAGGAGGCGGTGGAGTAGCTCTCACGGTCTCGGACCGTGCGTGGGCCCGGGTCTCCGCCGGCCGAGCCCTCGCTGAGCCCCGGGGGGACCCCGGGGGGGTCCCCTCGCCGTGGGGGGGGGGCCCCGGCGGCGGGGGGGGTCCCTCGGGGACTCCTCAGGGGTCTGCCGCGGGCCCCGAGGGTGGCCAAGCTCCAGAGGCATCCCATCAGGGGTTACGGATTCTACCTGCGAGAGATTAGGGGCGTCGCCGGTGAGGAGCCACGCCCACACACACACCCCTCCCCCCGCCGCCGCCTGCTCTACACGCCCCCTGCTTGACACGCCCCCTGCTTGACACGCCCCCTGCTTGACACGGCCACACCCCCCGCCCGCCTGCTTGACACACCTCCTTCTTGCCACGCCCACTCCCCCCCCTGCTTGCCACGCCCCCTGGTTGCCACGCCCACTCCCCCCCTGCTTGACACGCCTCCTGATTGCCACGCCCCCTTCTCCCCTGCTTGACACGCCTCCTGCTTGACAAGCCTCCTGCTTGACACGGCCCTGCTTGACACGCCCACTGATTGCCACACCCCCCCTCCTGCTTGCCACGCCCCCCACTCCTGCTTGCCACGCCCCATGGTTGCCACGCCCACTCCCCCCCCTGCTTGACATGCCTCCTGCTTGACACGCCCCCTGGTTGCCACGCCCACTCCTCCCCCCCCCCGCCTGCTTGACACGCCCCCTGCTTTCCACGCCCCCTGCTTGCCACGCCCACCCCCTCACCTGCTTGACACGCCCCCTGCTTGACACGCCCCCTGCTTGCCACGCCCCCTTTCTCCCACGCCCACTGCTAAGGCCATCAGCACCACAACCACCACAACCACCAGCACCACCACAACCACCAGCACAACCACCACAACCACCACCACAACCACCACCACAACCACCACAACCACCACAACCACCACCACAACCACCACAACCACCACCACAACCACCACCACAACCACCACCACAACCACCACAACCACCACCACAACCACCACCACAACCACCACCACAACCACCACCACAACCACCACAACCACCACCACAACCACCACCACAACCACCACAACCACCACCACAACCACCACCACAACCACCACAACCACCACCACAACCACCACCACAACCACCACAACCACCACCACAACCACCACCACAACCACCACAACCACCACCACAACCACCACCACAACCACCACAACCACCACCACAACCACCACCACAACCACCACAACCACCACCACAACCACCACCACAACCACCACAACCACCACCACAACCACCACCACAACCACCACAACCACCACCACAACCACCACCACAACCACCACAACCACCACCACAACCACCACAACAACCACCACAACCACCACAACCACCAGCAGCACTACAACAACAAACCACCACCACCACAACCACTACAACCACAACCACCACAACCACCAGCACCACCACAACCACCACAACCACAACCACCACAACCACCAGCACCACCACAACCACTACAACCACAACCACCACCCCACCCACCTTCCCACCCACCACTCCCCCCACCACTCCCCCCACCACTCCCCCCACCACTCCACCCACCACTCCACCCACAGGGCAGTTCATCCACGATGTGGAGTGTAAGAGTGAGGCTGAACGTGCAGGCCTCAGGGATGGAGACCCCCACCCACCTTCCCACCCACCCACCCACTCACCCACCCACCCACCCACTCATCCACCCACCCACTCACTCACTCACCCACTCACCCACTCACCAACCCACCCACTCACCCACTCACTCACTCACCCACCCACCCACTCACCCACCCACCCACCCACTCACCCACTAACTCACCCATTCACTCACTCACTCACTCACCCCCCCACCACTCCCCCCACCACTCCCCCCACCACTCCACCCACAGGGCAGTTCATCCACGACGTGGAGTGTAAGAGTGAGGCTGAACGTGCGGGCCTCAGGGATGGAGATCGACTGGTGGCGGTGAACGGATCCAGCGTGGAGCGGATGGAGCACGCCCAGGTGGTGGACTTCATCCGTGCCAGGGGCTCCAGGGTCGACTTGCTGCTGGTCGACTCGCCCACGGACGCCATGTGCTCACGGGTGAGTGGGTGGGTGAGTGGGTGGGTGAGTGAGTGGGTGGGTGGGTGGGTGAGTGGGTGAGTGAGTGAGTGAGTGGGTGGGTCGGTGGGTGAGTGGGTGAGTGAGTGGGTGAGTGGGTGAGTGAGTGGGTGGGTGAGTGGGTGAGTGAGTGGGTGGGTGAGTGGGTGAGTGAGTGGGTGAGTGGGTGGGTGAGTGAGTGGGTGGGTGAGTGAGTAAGTGAGTGGGTAAGTGAGTGGGTGAGTGAGTGGGTGGGTGACTGAGTGGGTGAGTGGGTGGGTGAGTGAGTGGGTGGGTGGGTGAGTGAGTGAGTGGGTGAGTGGGTGAGTGAGTGGGTGGGTGGGTGAGTGGGTGGGTGAGTGGGTGGGTGGGTGAGTGAGTGGGTGGGTGAGTGGGTGGGTGGGTGGGTGAGTGAGTGGGTGGGTGGGTGAGTGAGTGGGTGGGTGAGTGAGTGAGTGGGTGAGTGGGTGAGTAGGTGGGTGAGTGAGTGAGTGGGTGGGTGAGTGAGTGGGTGGGTGAGTGAGTGGGTGGGTGGGTGGGTGAGTGAGTGAGTGGGTGAGTGAGTGGGTGAGTGGTTAGGTGAGTGGTTAGGTGAGTGAGTGAGTGGGTGTGTGGGTGAGTAAGTGGGTGAGTGAGTGGGTGGGTGAGTGGGTGAGTGAGTGAGTGAGTGGGTGGTAGGGTGAGTGAGTGAGTGGGTGGGTGGGTGGGTGAGTGAGTGAGTGAGTGGGTGAGTGGGTGAGTGAGTGGGTGAGTGGTTAGGTGAGTGGTTAGGTGAGTGAGTGGGTGAGTGAGTGGGTGGTAGGGTGAGTGAGTGGGTGAGTGAGTGAGTGAGTGGATGAGTGGGTTGGTGGGTGGGTGGGTGAGTGAGTGAGTGGGTGAGTGAGTGAGTGGGTGAGTGAGTGAGTGGGTGAGTGAGTGGGTGAATGAGTGTGTGGGTGAGTGGGTGGGTGAGTGGGTGGGTGAGTGAGTGGGTGAGTGAGTGGGTGAGTGGGTGGGTGGGTGGGTGAGTGAGTTAGTGGGTGGGTGAGTGAGTGAGTGGGTGAGTGGGTGGTGAGGACGATGCTGCTACTGCTGATGATGATGCTACTGCTGATGATGATGCTACTGCTGATGATGATGCTGATGATGCTACTGATGATGATGACGATGCTGCTGATGATGGTGCTACCAATGATGCTGATGATGCTGATGATGATGCTACTGATGATGATGATGATAATGATGATGGTGCTACTGATGATGATGATGCTGCTGCTGATGATGATGCTGATGATGATGACGATGCTGCTAATGATGGTGCTACCAATGATGCTGATGATGCTGATGATGCTGCTGCTGATGATGATGCTGATGATGATGCTACTGATGATGATGCTGCTGCTGCTGCTGATGATGATGATGCTGATGATGATGATGCTGATGATGATGATCACCATCTGCTTGCTGTCCCCGGCTCCCAGATTGGCATCTCGCCGATGGCGTTCCTGCCCTGGCTAGGACAGTGACAATGTGAGTGTCTTAGTGAGTGTCTTAGTGAGTGTCTTAGTGAGTGAGTGTCTTAGTGAGTGTCTTAGTGAGTGTCTTAGTGAGTGAGTGCCTTAGTGAGTGTCTTAGTGAGTGTCTTAGTGAGTGTCTTAGTGAGTGAGTGTCTTAGTGAGTGTCTTAGTGAGTGTCTTAGTGAGTGAGTGTCTTAGTGAGTGTCTTAGTGAGTGTCTTAGTGAGTGTCTTAGTGAGTGAGTGTCTTAGTGAGTGTGTTAGTGAGTGAGTGTCTTAGTGAGTGTGTTAGTGAGTGTCTTAGTGAGTGTCTTAGTGAGTGAGTGTCTTAGTGAGTGTGTTAGTGAGTCAGTGTCTTAGTGAGTGTCTTAGTGAGTGAGTGTCTTAGTGAGTGTGTTAGTGAGTGTCTTAGTGAGTGTCTTAGTGAGTGAGTGTCTTAGTGAGTGTGTTAGTGAGTGTCTTAGTGAGTGTCTTAGTGAGTGTCTTAGTGAGTGAGTGTCTTACTGAGTGTCTTAGTGAGTGTCTTAGTGAGTGTCTTAGTGAGTGAGTGTCTTAGTGAGTGTGTTAGTGAGTGTCTTAGTGAGTGTCTTAGTGAGTGTCTTAGTGAGTGAGTGTCTTACTGAGTGTCTTAGTGAGTGTCTTAGTGAGTGTCTTAGTGAGTGTCTTAGTGAGTGAGTGTCTTAGTGAGTGTGTTAGTGAGTCAGTGTCTTAGTGAGTGTCTTAGTGAGTGTCTTAGTGAGTGTCTTAGTGAGTGTCTTAGTGAGTGAGTGTCTTAGTGAGTGTGTTAGTGAGTCAGTGTCTTAGTGAGTGTCTTAGTGAGTGAGTGTCTTAGTGAGTGTCTTAGTGAGTGTCTTAGTGAGTGAGTGTCTTAGTGAGTGTCTTAGTGAGTGTCTTAGTGAGTGTCTTAGTGAGTCAGTGTCTTAGTGAGTGTCTTAGTGAGTGTCTTAGTGAGTGTCTTAGTGAGTGAGTGTCTTAGTGAGTGTGTTAGTGAGTGAGTGTCTTAGTGAGTGTCTTAGTGAGTGTCTTAGTGAGTGTCTTAGTGAGTGAGTGTCTTAGTGAGTGTCTTAGTGAGTCAGTGTCTTAGTGAGTGTCTTAGTGAGTGAGTGTCTTAGTGAATGTCTTAGTGAGTGTATTAGTGAGTGTCTTAGTGAGTGTCTTAGTGAGTGTCTTAGTGAGTGAGTGTCTTAGTGAGTGTCTTAGTGAGTGTCTTAGTGAGTGAGTGTCTTAGTGAGTGTGTTAGTGAGTGAGTGTCTTAGTGAGTGTGTTAGTGAGTGTCTTAGTGAGTGTCTTAGTGAGTGTCTTAGTGAGTGAGTGTCTTAGTGAGTGTCTTAGTGAGTGTCTTAGTGAGTGAGTGTCTTAGTGAGTGTCTTAGTGAGTGAGTGTCTTAGTGAGTGTGTTAGTGAGTGAGTGTCTTAGTGAGTGTGTTAGTGAGTGTCTTAGTGAGTGTCTTAGTGAGTGTACTAGTGAGTGTCTTAGTGAGTGAGTGTCTTAGTGAGTGTCTTAGTGAGTGTCTTAGTGAGTGAGTGTCTTAGTGAGTGTGTTAGTGAGTGAGTGTCTTAGTGAGTGTGTTAGTGAGTGAGTGTCTTAGTGAGTGTCTTAGTGACTGTCTTAGTGGGTGTCTTAGTGAGTGTCCTAGTGAGTGTCTTAGTGAGTGTCTTAGTGAGTGAGTGTCTTAGTGAGTGTCTTAGTGAGTGTCTTAGTGAGTGAGTGTCTTAGTGAGTGTCTTAGTGAGTGTATTAGTGAGTGTCTTAGTGAGTGAGTGTCTTAGTGAGTGTCTTAGTGAGTGAGTGTCTTAGTGAGTGTCTTAGTGAGTGTCTTAGTGAGTGAGTGTCTTAGTGAGTGTGTTAGTGAGTGAGTGTCTTAGTGAGTGTGTTAGTGAGTGAGTGTCTTAGTGAGTGTCTTAGTGAGTGTCTTAATGAGTGAGTGTCTTAGTGAGTGTCTTAGTGAGTGTCTTAGTGAGTGAGTGTCTTAGTGAGTGTCTTAGTGAGTGAGTGTCTTAGTGAGTGTCTTAGTGTCACTGTGTGTGTGTGTCACTGTGTGTGTGTGTGTCACTGTGTGTGTCACTGTGTGTGTGTGTCACTGTGTGTGTCACTGTGTGTGTGTCACTATGTGTGTCACTGTGTGTGTCACTGTGTGTGTGTGTCACTGTGTGTGTCACTGTGTGTGTGTGTGTGTCACTGTGTGTGTGTGTCACTGTGTGTGTGTCACTGTGTGTGTGTGTCACTGTGTGTGTCACTGTGTGTGTGTCACTGTGTGTGTGTCACTGTGTGTGTGTGTGTGTCACTGTGTGTGTGTGTCACTGTGTGTCACTGTGTGTGTGTGTCAATGTGTGTGTCACTGTGTGTGTGTGTCACTGTGTGTGTCACTGTGTGTGTGTCACTGTGTGTGTGTCACTGTGTGTCACTGTGTGTGTGTGTCATTGTGTGTGTCACTGTGTGTCAGTGTGTGTGTGTGTCACTGTGTGTCACTGTGTGTGTCACTCCTCCAGGATCGATTCCCTGAAGATGAATCTGTGGAATCGCCAACTCCACCATATTGATTTGTCAATCAATGTATTGGTTTGTCAATTAATATATTGATTTGTAAATAAATATATTTAGGTCAATTCATATTTTGATTAATAAATCAACATATTGATTTGTCAATTCATATATTGATTTGTACATCAATATATTGATTTGCAAACTAATATATCGATTTCTTAATCAACAAATTGATGCGTCAATTAATTTGTTGATGTGCCATTTGATGTCTTGATTTGTCAATTCACGTATTGATAATTCAATTAATGTATCGATTTTTAAAATTTAATATATTCAGAAGCCAAAAAATCAACTCGCGTATATTTGTATTATCGATTTTCATATTCAATTGAATGTATTAACACGTGATTTAGTAATACCGATATGCCATTTGATGTATGGATTTGTCAATTAATATATTGATGTCATTGAATGCGTAATTTTCTAAATTAAAACTCAATGGAATGTATTCATGAGTGATGTGACGTTTTATTGTGTTATTTAATATCTAATATATAGTACACACACAGACACAGACAAAGCTCCCCCAGGTAGCCTCTAGCAGGGCTGTAGGGGAAAGTGCAGTTACACTGACACAGACAAAGCTACCCCCAGGTAGCCTCTAGCAGGGCTGTAGGGGCAAGTGCAGTTACACAGACACAGACAAAGCTACCCCAGGTAGCCTCTAGCAGGGCTGTAGGGGCAAGTGTAGTCACACAGACACAGACAAAGCTACCCCAGGTAGCCTCCAGCAGGGCTGTAGGGGCAAGTGCAGTCACACAGACACAGACAAAGCTCCCCCCAGGTAGCCTCTAGCAGGGCTGTAGGGGCAAGTGCAGTTACACAGACACAGCTCCCCCAGGTAGCCTCTAGCAGCGCTGTAGGGGCAAGTGCAGTTACACACAGACACAGACAAAGCTCCCCCAGGTAGCCTCTAGCAGTGCTGTAGGGGCAAGTGCAGTCACAGACACAGACAAAGCTCCCCCAGGTAGCCTCTAGCAGGGCTGTAGGGGCAAGTGCAGTTACACAGACACAGACAAAGCTACCCCAGGTAGCCTCTAGCAGGGCTGTAGGGGCAAGTGCTGTTAGTAGCGAGTAGCAGCAGAAGCAGCAGCGCCTATGAAGGCGACTGGCACTGTGGCTACACGCACAGATGGGGTGGGTGGCCAACACCACGCCCGGCCGCCTTTGTCTCTCCCCAGACACACATAGACACACACACAGAGACACACACACAGACAAAGGTAGCCGGTGTAGCCCTCTAGTAGGCTGCAGGGGCAAGAGACGCGTGGATAGGCCACGGTGATGGCGGTGATCGCATCCCTCTCGCAGTGCCACGTGGATTAACACAGCAGCGGAAAAATTAATTATACCGAAAGTTATTTTTGCACAAATTTGCATGCAAATACAACAATTGGTTGTGGCGCTCTCTGATTGGTTTGGCCAGCGTCTCGTATAAATTAATAAATTATGTTAAAACGTTACCTCCGCCACCCCTCTTTTTCCTCCTCCCCCCCCACCTCACATCGCTGCCTCACAGCCAATCAGATAGCCTCGACACCGTTACACCTGCACATATATTATGTTAATTAGCTCCTGCTCCGCCCCTCCCCACCACCACCCACTCACCGACATCGCTGACTCGCAGCCAATCAGATAACCTCGACGCCGTTACACCGCCACATATATTATGTTAATTACTCATCTGCGATGACGTACTCATAATCAATTCAAACAAACCTAGCTGCATATCATTAAAAAAATTAACCTCGTCTCTCCCCCCAGGCCCCCACCCCCCCTCTCCAGCTTAGACCAATAGGATCGCGCAGAGTGTCCTCGCCCCGCCCCCTCGCCGGCGCGCGTCACGCCGAGCCGACCAATGGGACGCGGCCGCGTTATAAACCTTTTTTTCCCCCGGCTCGCTGTTGGTGGCGGTTTTTTTCCCCCTTCCCCCGCTCACTCTCTGTCAAAATAACGCCACAAAATTTGAATTAAATTAAAAATCCGCTGAATTCTTCACGCCGCCAGCGTCTGCGCCGTCGGACGCCGCTCGTCCCCCGGAATCCGCCGGTACCGATCGCGTCTCGGTGGCGCCTCCGTTCATCACGGTCTCGGTTGACAAGGAGACCTGTTGGTGTTCCGCTCTCGCCGTCGGCCCGTGAAGGCGAGCGGTAGCCCTCGCTAGGCGAGGCCGTGGTCGGGCCTGCGGCCTGCTTCCTCGGTCTTTTATTCGTTTCGTATTTTTAATAACGATTTAGTTTTGTGTGTGTGTATATATTTAAAAAAAAACGAATTGTTATATTTGTTTGCGCTAACGTAACTTTGGTGCAGGATCAGAACAATTTACACTCCAGCTAGGAATTGTCCACGAGTTATTAAGTGTCTGAGAGATTCTCGCTAATTTCATTGATGGCCCAAATTTATCAAAATCATTGATACCGCAGATTGTGTGATCAGTTTTAAAGTGATAAGCTGCATATCATCATGATCGTAATATCGTTGACTTAAGGGGGAATGCCGTGGGCTATAAAGTATCTTTTAGAATTGTCTGACAGATGTTGACTAATTTCATTGATGGCCCAAAATCATCAAAATCATTGATACCGCAGATGTGTGATCAGTTATAAAGTGATAAGCTGTATATCATCATAATCGTAATATTGTTGACTTAATGAGTAATCCCGTTGGCTATAAAGTATCTTAGAATTGTCTGAGAGATGCTCACTAATTTCATTGATGGTCAAAATCATCAAAATCATTGACACAGCAGGCGTGTGATGAGCTACAGAGCATCAGAATCAATCATTTGTATTTGATGAGTAATCGCATGGTTTATAAAGTATCTTAGAATTGTCTGAGCGATGCTCACTAATTTCATTGATGGCCAGAATCAGCAGAATCAGCAGAAATCATTGCCACCGCAGATGTGTGATCAGTTTTAAAGTGATAAGCTGTATATCATCATGATCGTAATATTGTTTGACTTAACGAGTAATCCCGTTGGCTATAAAGTATCTTAGAATTGTCTGGCAGATGCTCACTAATTTAATTGATGGCTAGAATCGTCAGAATCATGAGAATCATTGATACCGCAGGGGTGTGATGAGCTACAGAGCATCAGAATCAATAATTTGTATTTGATGAGTAATCTCATGATTTACAAAGTATCTTAGAATTGTCTGAGAGATGCTCACTAATTTAATTGATGGCTAGAATCAGCAGAATCATGAGAATCATTGACACCGCAGATGTGTGATCAGTTTTAAAGTGATAAGCTGTATATCATCATGATCGTAATATTGTTGACTTAATGAGTAATCCCGTTGGCTATAAAGTATCTTAGAATTGTCTGGCAGATGCTCACTAATTTTATTGATGGTCAGAATCGGCAGAATCATGATAATCATTGACACAGCCGGCGTGTGATGAGCTACAGAGCATCAGAATCATTGCATGTGAAACTTGGTGAGTAATCTCATGGTTTACAACGTATCTTAGAATTGTCTGAGAGATGCTCACTAATTTCATTGATGGCTAGAATCAGCAGAATCATCAGAAATCATTGACACCGCAGATGTGTGATCAGTTTTAAAGTGATAAGCTGTATATCATCATGATCGTAATATTGTTGACTTAATGAGTAATCCCGTTGGCTATAAAGTATCTTAGAATTGTCTGGCAGATGCTCACTAATTTCATTGATGGCTAGAATCAGCAGAATCAGCAGAATCATTGACACCGCAGGCGTGTGATGAGCTACAGAGCATCAGAATCAATAATTTGTATTTGATGAGTAATCTCATGGTTTACAAAGTATCTTAGAATTGTCTCGCAGATGCTCACTAATTTCATTGATGGCTGGAATCAATTAAAATCAGCAGAATCAGCAGAATCATTGGTACTGCAGGTGCTTGATGAGCTATAATGTGATGAGCTTTATAGCATCACTCATTGTGTGTTACACTTAAAGGAGAATGCAATGAGATATGAAATTTCTAAGAATTACCTTTCATGGTTATGCAGAATCATCGGAATCATTGATACTGCAGATGTCACTGTTAGTAGCAGCAGCAGTGGCTATGATAGGTTCTAGGGAGTTTCTATGTGTCTGTGTGGTGAGTCTGTGGGTCTCTGTGTGGTGAGTCTGTGGATCTCTGTGTGGTGAGTCTGTGGGTCTCTGTGGTGAGTCTGTGGGTCTCTGTGTGGTGAGTCTGTGGGTCTCTGTGTGGTGAGTCTATGGGTCTCTGTGTGGTGAGTCTGTGGGTATCTGTGTGGTGAGTCTGTGGGTCTCTGTGTGGTGAGTCTGTGGGTCTCTGTGTGGTGAGGCTATGGGTCTCTGTGTGGTGAGTCTATGGGTCTCTGTGTGGTGAGTCTGTGGGTCTCTGTGTGGTGAGTCTGTAGGTCTCTGGGTGTCTATGGGTGTGTCTCTATGGGTGTCTATGGGTCTCTATGGGTGTCTATGTGTCTATGGGTGTCTATGGGTGTCTCTATGTGTGTCTATGTGTCTATGTGTCTCTATGGGTCTCTATGGGTGTGTCTATGGGTGTGTCTCTATGAGTGTCTATGGGTGTCTGTGTGTCTCTTTGTCTCTATGGGTGTCTATGGGTGTCTATGGGTGTCTATGAGTCTCTGAGTGTCTATGGGTGTCTGTGTGTCTCTGTGTCTCTATTTGTGTCTCTATGGGTGTCTATGTGTGTCTCTATGAGTGTCTGTGTGTCTCTATGGGTGTCTATGAGTCTCTATGAGTCTCTGAGTCTCTATGTGTCTGTGACTCTATGGGTGTCTCTATGTCTCTATGGGTGTCTCTATGGGTGTCTATGAGTCTATGTGTCTGTGACTGTGTGGGTGTCTCTATGGGTGTCTCTATGTGTCTGTGACTCTATGGGTGTCTTTATGAGTCTCTATGAGTCTGTGACTCTATGGGTGTCTCTATGGGTGTCTATGGGTCTCTATGGGTGTCTATGAGTCTATGTGTCTGTGACTGTGTGGGTGTCTCTATGGGTGTCTCTATGTGTCTGTGACTCTATGGGTGTCTCTATGGGTGTCTATGGGTCTCTATGGGTGTCTATGAGTCTATGTGTCTGTGACTGTGTGGGTGTCTCTATGGGTGCCTCTATGTGTCTGTGACTCTATGGGTGTCTCTATGAGTCTCTATGTGTCTGTGACTCTATGGGTGTCTCTATGGGTGTCTCTATGTGTCTGTGACTCTATGGGTGTCTCTATGGGTGTCTCTATGTGTCTCTATGAGTCTATGTGTCTGTGACGCTATGGGTGTCTATGAGTGTCTCTATGAGTCTCTATGAGTCTCTATGTGTCTGTGACTCTATGGGTGTCTCTATGGGTGTCTATGGGTCTCTATGGGTGTCTATGAGTCTATGTGTCTGTGACTGTGTGGGTGTCTCTATGGGTGTCTCTATGTGTCTGTGACTCTATGGGTGTCTATGGGTCTCTATGGGTGTCATTGAGTCTGTGTCTGTGACTGTGTGGGTGTCTCTATGGGTGTCTATGAGTCTCTATGAGTCTGTGACTCTATGGGTGTCTCTATGGGTGTCTCTATGTCTCTATGAGTCTCTATGAGTCTATGTGTCTGTGACTGTGTGGGTGTCTCTATGGGTCTCTATGGGTGTCTATGGGTCTCTATGGGTGTCTATGAGTCTATGAGTCTGTGACTCTATGGGTGTCTCTATGGGTGTCTCTATGTCTCTATGGGTGTCTCTATGAGTCTCTATGAGTCTCTGTGTCTCTGTGTGGGTGTCTCTATGGGTGTCTATGGGTGTCTATGGGTCTCTATGGGTGTCTATGAGTCTATGTGTCTGTGTCTCTATGGGTCTCTATGGGTGTCTATGAGTCTGTCTCTGACTGTGTGGGTGTCTCTATGTGTCTGTGACTCTATGGGTGTCTCTATGGGTGTCTATGGGTCTCTATGGGTGTCTATGAGTCTCTATGTGTCTGTGTCTCTGTGTGGGTGTCTCTATGGGTGTCTCTATGTCTCTATGGGTGTCTCTATGAGTCTCTATGAGTCTCTGTGTGTCTCTGTGTGGGTGTCTCTATGTGTGTCTCTATGGGTGTCTCTATGTCTCTATGGGTGTCTATGAGTGTTTATGGGTCTCAATGAGTCTCTATGTGTCTCTGTGTGGGTGTCTCTATGCTGTCCCCGCAGCCATGAATCCCTTGAGGCTGATGGTGCTGCTGGTTCCAGCGCTGACCCTGATGCACACACACAGCAGTGGTGAGACACACAGACACAGAGAGACACACACAGACACACACAGACACACACAGCAGTGGTGAGACACACACAGACACACACACAGACACACACACAGACACACACAGACACACACACAGACACACACACAGACACACACAGACACACACAGCAGTGGTGAGACACACAGACACACACAGACACACACAGACACACACAGACACACACAGCAGTGGTGAGACACAGACAGAGACACACACAGACACACACACAGACACACACACAGACACACACAGACACACACACAGACACACACACAGACACACACAGACACACACAGCAGTGGTGAGACACACAGACACAGAGAGACACACACAGACACACACAGACACACACAGACACACACAGCAGTGGTGAGACACACAGACACAGAGAGACACACACAGACACACACAGACACACACAGCAGTGGTGAGACACACAGACACAGAGAGACACACACAGACACACAGACACACACAGCAGTGGTGAGACACACAGACACAGAGAGACACACACAGACACACACAGACACACACAGCAGTGGTGAGACACACAGACACAGAGAGACACACACAGACACACAGACACACACAGCAGTGGTGAGACACACAGACACAGAGAGACACACACAGACACACACAGACACACACAGCAGTGGTGAGACACACAGACACAGAGAGACACACACAGACACACAGACACACACAGCAGTGGTGAGACACACAGACACACACAGACACACACAGACACACACAGACACACACAGCAGTGGTGAGACACACAGACACACACAGACACACACAGCAGTGGTGAGACACAGACAGAGACACACAGAGACACACAGAGACATACAGAGACATACAGAGACACACACAGACACACACAGACACACACAGACACACACAGCAGTGGTGAGACACACAGACACACACAGACACACACAGACACACAGAGACACACACAGACACACACAGCAGTGGTGAGACACACAGACACACACAGACACACACAGACACACACAGACACAGAGAGACACACACAGACACACACAGACACACACAGCAGTGGTGAGACACACAGACACACACAGACACACACAGACACACACAGACACACAGAGACACACACAGACACACACAGCAGTGGTGAGACACACAGACACACACAGACACACACAGACACACAGAGACACACACAGAGACACACAGACACACACAGACACACACAGACACAGAGAGACACACACAGACACACACAGACACACACAGCAGTGGTGAGACACACAGACACAGAGACACACAGAGACACACACAGACACACAGACACAGAGAGACACACACAGACACACACAGACACACAGACACAGACAGACACACACAGACACACACAGACACACACAGACACACAGAGACACACACAGACACACACAGACACAGAGAGACACACACAGACACACACAGACACACACAGCAGTGGTGAGACACACAGACACAGACAGACACACACAGACACACAGACACACAGCAGTGGTGAGACACACAGACACAGAGAGACACACACAGACACACACAGACACACACAGCAGTGGTGAGACACACAGACACACACAGACACACACAGACACACACAGACACACAGAGACACACACAGACACACACAGCAGTGGTGAGACACACAGACACACACAGACACACACAGACACACACAGACACACACAGAGACACACAGACACACAGAGACAGACACACAGAGACACACAGAGACACACAGAGACACACAGAGACACACAGAGACACACAGAGACACACAGAGACACACAGAGACACACAGAGACACACAGACACAGAGACACACACAGACACAGTGACACACACACAGACACAGTGACACACACACAGACACACAGAGACACACAGACACAGAGAGACACACACAGACACACAGACACACACAGCAGTGGTGAGACACACAGACACACACAGACACACACAGACAGAGAGACACACACACAGACACACACAGACACACAGACAGACACACACAGACACACAGAGACACACACAGCAGCGGTGAGACACACACAGAGACACACAGAGACACACAGAGACACACAGAGACACACAGACACAGACACACACAGACACACACAGACACACACAGACACACAGAGACAGACACAGACAGACACAGACACACACACAGACACACACACAGACACACACACAGACACACACAGACACACACAGACACACACACACAGACACACAGACACACAGACACACACAGAGACACACACAGAAACACACACACAGATACACGCTCAGAGACACAGAGACACTCACACAGTGAGTCTCTCTCCCCGTGTCTCTCCCCGTGTCTCTCTCTCACTCTCTCCCCGTGTCTCTCTCCCCGTGTCTCTCTCCCCGTGTCTCTCTCACCCCGTGTCTCTCTCACCCCGTGTCTCTCTCACCCCGTGTCTCTCTCACCCCGTGTCTCTCTCTCCCCGTGTCTCTCTCCCCGTGTCTCTCTCCCCGTGTCTCTCTCCCCGTGTCTCTCTCCCCGTGTCTCTCTCCCCGTGTCTCTCTCTCCCCGTGTCTCTCTCTCCCCGTGTCTCTCTCTCCCCGTGTCTCTCTCCCCGTGTCTCTCTCTCCCCGTGTCTCTCTCTGTCACTCTCTCCCTGTGTCTCTCTCCCCGTGTCTCTCTCCCCGTGTCTCTCTCCCCGTGTCTCTCTCCCCGTGTCTCTCTCCCCGTGTCTCTCTCTCCCCGTGTCTCTCTCTCCCCGTGTCTCTCCCCGTGTCTCTCCCCGTGTCTCTCTCTCTCTCTCCCCGTGTCTCTCTCTTTCTCTCCCCATGTCTCTCTCTCCCCGTGTCTCTCCCCGTGTCTCTCTCTCTCTCTCTCCCCGTGTCTCTTTCTCTCCCCGTGTCTCTCTCTCCCCGTGTCTCTCTCTCCCCGTGTCTCTCTCTCCCCGTGTCTCTATCTCTCCCCGTGTCTCTCTCTCTCCCCGTGTCTCTCTCTCTCCCCGTGTCTCTCTCTCCCCGTGTCTCTCTCTCCCCGTGTCTCTCTCTCCCCGTGTCTCTCTCTCCCCGTGTCTCTCTCACTCTCTCCCCGTGTCTCTCTCTCACTCTCTCCCCGTGTCTCTCTCTCTCCCCGTGTCTCTCTCTCCCCGTGTCTCTCTCTCCCCGTGTCTCTCTCTCTCCCCGTGTCTCTCTCTCCCCGTGTCTCTCCCCGTGTCTCTCTCACTCTCTCCCCATGTCTCTCTCTCGCCGTGTCTCTCTCTCCCCGTGTCTCTCTCTCACTCTCTCCCCGTGTCTCTCTCCTCGTGTCTCTCTCCCCGTGTCTCTCTCCCCGTGTCTCTCTCCCCGTGTCTCTCTCCCCGTGTCTCTCTCCCCGTGTCTCTCTCCCCGTGTCTCTCTCCCCGTGTCTCTCTCCCCGTGTCTCTCTCCCCGTGTCTCTCTCCCCGTGTCTCTCTCCCCGTGTCTCTCACCCCGTGTCTCTCTCACCCCGTGTCTCTCTCTCCCCGTGTCTCTCTCCCCGTGTCTCTCTCCCCGTGTCTCTCTCTCCCCGTGTCTCTCTCTCCCCGTGTCTCTCTCTCCCCGTGTCTCTCTCTCCCCGTGTCTCTCTCCCCGTGTCTCTCTCTCCCCATGTCTCTCTCTCCCCGTGTCTCTCTCTGTCACTCTCTCCCTGTGTCTCTCTCCCTGTGTCTCTCTCCCCGTGTCTCTCTCCCCGTGTCTCTCTCCCCGTGTCTCTCTCCCCGTGTCTCTCTCCCCGTGTCTCTCTCCCCGTGTCTCTCTCCCCGTGTCTCTCTCCCCATGTCTCTCTCTCTCTCCGTGTCTCTCTCTCTCCCCGTGTCTCTCTCCCCGTGTCTCTCTCCCCGTGTCTCTCCCCGTGTCTCTCCCCGTGTCTCTCCCCGTGTCTCTCCCCGTGTCTCTCTCTCTCTCTCCCCGTGTCTCTTTCTCTCCCCATGTCTCTCTCTCCCCGTGTCTCTCCCCGTGTCTCTCTCTCTCTCTCTCTCCCCGTGTCTCTTTCTCTCCCCGTGTCTCTCTCTCCCTGTGTCTCTCTCTCTCCCCGTGTCTCTCTCTCCCCGTGTCTCTCTCTCTCCCCGTGTCTCTCTCTCTCCCCGTGTCTCTCTCTCTCCCCGTGTCTCTCTCTCTCCCCGTGTCTCTCTCTCTCCCCGTGTCTCTCTCTCCCCGTGTCTCTCTCTCACTCTCTCCCCGTGTCTCTCTCTCCCCGTGTCTCTCTCTCCCCGTGTCTCTCTCTCCCCGTGTCTCTCTCTCCCCGTGTCTCTCTCTCCCCGTGTCTCTCTCTCCCCGTGTCTCTCTCTCTCCCCGTGTCTCTCTCTCTCCCCGTGTCTCTCTCTCTCCCCGTGTCTCTCTCTCTCCCCGTGTCTCTCTCTCCCCGTGTCTCTCTCTCCCCGTGTCTCTCTCTCCCCGTGTCTCTCTCACTCTCTCCCCGTGTCTCTCTCACTCTCTCCCCGTGTCTCTCTCTCCCCGTGTCTCTCTCTCACTCTCTCCCCGTGTCTCTCTCTCCCCGTGTCTCTCTCTCCCCGTGTCTCTCTCTCCCCGTATCTCTCTCTCCCCGTGTCTCACCCCGTGTCTCTCTCTCCCCGTGTCACTCTCTCCCCGTGTCTCTCTCTCACTCTCTCCCCGTGTCTCTCTCCCCGTGTCTCTCTCCCCGTGTCTCTCTCTCACTTTCTCCCCGTGTCTCTCTCTCCCCGTGTCTCACCCCGTGTCTCTCTCTCCCCGTGTCTCTCTCTCCCCGTGTCTCTCTCTCACTCTCTCCCCGTGTCTCTCTCCCCGTGTCTCTCTCCCCGTGTCTCTCTCTCACTCTCTCCCCGCGTCTCTCTCTCCCCGTGTCTCTCCCGTGTCTCTCTCTCCCCGTGTCTCACCCTCCCCGTGTCTCACCCCGTGTCTCTCTCTCCCCGTGTCTCTCTCCCCGTGTGTCTCTCTCCCCGTGTCTCTCTCCCCGTGTCTCTCTCTCTCTCCCCGTGTCTCTCTCTCTCTCCCCGTGTCTCTCTCTCCCCGTGTCCCTCTCTCCCCGTGTCTCTCTCTCCCCGTGTCTCTCTCTCTCCCCGTGTCTCTCTCTCACTCTCTCCCCGTGTCTCTCTCCCCGTGTCTCTCCCCGTGTCTCTCCCCGCGTCTCTCTCCCCGCGTCTCTCTCTCACTCTCTCCCCGTGTCTCTCTCCCCGTGTCTCTCTCCCCGTGTCTCTCTCCCCGTGTCTCTCTCCCCGTGTCTCTCTCTCACTCTCTCCCCGTGTCTCTCTCTCCCCGTGTCTCTCTCTCCCCGTGTCTCTCCCCGTGTCTCTCTCCCCGTGTCTCTCTCCCCGTGTCTCTCTCCCCGTGTCTCTCTCTCACTCTCTCCCCGTGTCTCTCTCTCACTCTCTCCCCGTGTCTCTCTCTCCCCGTGTCTCTCTCTCCCCGTGTCTCTCCCCGTGTCTCTCCCCGTGTCTCTCTCCCCGTGTCTCTCTCTCACTCTCTCCCCGTGTCTCTCTTTCACTCTCTCCCCGTGTCTCTCTCTCCCCGTGTCTCTCCCCGTGTCTCTCTGTATCTCCCCGTGTCTCTCTCTCCCCGTGTCTCTCTCTCCCCGTGTCTCTCTCTCCCCGTGTCTCTCCCCGTGTCTCTCTCTCCCCGTGTCTCTCTCTCCCCGTGTCTCTCTCTGTCTCTCTCTCACTCTCTCCCCGTGTCTCTCTCCCCGTGTCTCTCTCCCCGTGTCTCTCCCCGTGTCTCTCTCCCCGTGTCTCTCTCTCACTCTCTCCCCGTGTCTCTCTCCCCGTGCCTCTCTCCCCGTGCCTCTCTCCCCGTGTCTCTCCCCGTGTCTCTCTCCCCGTGTCTCGTAGACGCTGTGGCGGTGATGTCCGTGGATCTGGGCTCTGCGTGGATGAAGATTGGGATTGTGAAGCCTGGAGTTCCCATGGAGATAGTTCTGAACAAGTAACAACATCACCATCAACAACATCAACATCAACAACATCACCATCAACAACAACAACATCACCACCATCAACATCAACAACATCACCATCAACAACATCAACATCATCACCATCAACATCAACAACTTCACCAACATCACCATCAACAACATCACCATCAACAACATCAACAACATCACCACCATCAACAACATCAACATCAACAACATCACCATCAACAACAACAACATCAATATCATCAACAACATCACCACCATCACCATCAACAACATCAACATCAACAACATCACCATCAACAACAACAACATCAATATCATCAACAACATCACCACCAACATCACCACCATCAACATCAACAACATCAAAATCAACAACATCACCTTCACCATCAACAACATCACCACCATCAACGACATCAACAACATCACCACCAACATCACCATCAACAACATCACCAACAACATCACCATCATCATCACCATCAACAACATCACCATCATCACCTTCACCACCATCAACATCACCACCATCACCACCTTCACCATCAACAACATCACCACCATCAACAACAACAACATGACAACCGTCATCATCACCACCACCAACAACATCACCACCTTCACCACCACCATCATCAACATCACCACCTACATCATCACCATGTGTGTGTGTCACTGTGTGTGTGTGTGTCACTGTGTGTGTCACTGTGTGTGTCACTGTGTGTGTCACTGTGTGTGTGTCACTGTGTGTGTGTGTGTGTCTCTGTGTGTGTGTGTGTGTGTGTCTGTGTGTGTGTGTGTCTGTGTGTGTGTCTCTGTGTGTCTGTGTCTCTGTGTCTGTGTGTGTGTCTCTGTGTGTCTGTGTCTCTGTGTCTGTGTGTCTCTGTCTGTGTCTCTGTGTGTCTGTGTGTGTGTCTCTGTGTGTCTGTGTGTGTGTCTCTGTGTGTCTGTGTGTGTGTCTCTGTGTGTGTGTCTCTGTGTGTGTGTGTGTCTCTGTGTGTGTGTGTGTCACTGTGTGTGTGTGTCACTGTGTGTGTGTGTCACTGTGTGTGTGTGTCACTGTGTGTGTGTCACACTGTGTGTCACTGTGTGTGTGTGTGTGTCACACTGTGTGCGTGACACTGTGTGTGTGTGTCACACTGTGTGTGTGACACTGTGTGTGTGTCACTGTGTGTGTCACTGTGTCACTGTGTGTGTGTGTCACTGTGTGTGTGTGTGTGTCACTGTGTGTGTCACTGTGTGTGTGTCACTGTGTGTGTCACTGTGTGTGTGTCTGTGTGTGTGTCACTGTGTGTGTGTCACTGTGTGTGTGTCACTGTGTGTGTCACTGTGTGTGTGTCACTGTGTGTGTCACTGTGTGTGTGTCACTGTGTGTGTGTCACTGTGTGTGTGTCACTGTGTGTGTCACTGTGTGTGTCACTGTGTGTGACACTGTGTGTTTGTCACTGTGTGTGTGTCACTGTGTGTGTGTCACAGGGAGTCCAGGAGGAAGACTCCTCTCTGTGTCTACTTAAAGAACGGGGAGCGGCTCTTTGGAGAGAATGCTCTAGCAATGGTGCACATACACACACCTACACATACACACACATACACACACACACATACACACACACACATACACACACA